CAGATTACAGGATTTTACCATATTACTACTGTTTTTCTGCACTGTTGCCATCTTAGATTATAAATGGGGTTGGTGCGGCTTCTCCCAACTTTCTCTTTGGAAATCCGGAGAAGGCATTCCAGCTCACAATTCTAATTCAGAATGCAGGATTTCTGATGCTGGAACCCAGCAAAACCCCTAGTGAGGTGGTCCCCTTGGATGTGTTCCCAAAATTCGTTGCCCCAACCTGTCATTCTCTGAATTATGGGAATTTATGGTTCAGAAACCGCTCTAAGTCAGAGGATAGCCTGTATACCTGCAGAGAGCTCTGTTGTCAGATAAAGGCAGTGTACAAAGTATTCAGTTAAGGCGGTCATCACAGGAAGGGTCCTCAACTCTCAGGACCACCTCCACGGGGGCAGACCCACTAACCCCTTGTCTTAAGCTCTTGAGTTGCCTTCAGATAAAGTACTTAAGACTAATATAACCTGGATGACTGAGAACATGCACAGACAAGAAAAAGCATAACTGATTCTCTTTTAGTAAAATTACTGTTTTTAAAAAAATGTTTTTATTGTTTGCAAACAGGAACAAATAGGAATAAGCTTAATGTTCAACTGAAGCACTGTTTGTCAACTCCTGCACAATGCAGCATAAGATAAGATAAGATAAGATAACCTTTATTAGTCCCACATGTGGGAAATTTGTTTTGTCACAGCAGGAAGTGGACAGTGCAAAAGTTATGAAACAAAAATTAGAATACAATAAGAATAAATACAGTACACAACTGTGCAGAATAGAATAAAATAAAATACTATATACAGTAGAATAAAATAGAATAAAATATACAATAAGATAAAAATAAAATACAAATGCTATATACAACTGAGTAAAAATACAACGATGCCAGAAAAGATTATTGCACATTTGTGGATGTGTGTGTTTGATCAGTTAAAGTCTTTGTTGTGGAGTCTGACAGCAGTGGGGAGGAAAGACCTGCGAAATCTCTCCGTCCCACACCATGGGTGCCGCAGTCTGGGATGACAGCTTAGCCGCCATTCTCCTGTCACTCACCACCTCCACTGGGTCCAGAGGGCATCCTAGAACAGAGCTGGCCCTTCGGATCAGCCTGTTCAGTCTCTTCCTGTCCCCAGCAGAGATGCTGCCACCCCAGCAAACCACGCCATAAAAGATAGCAGAGGCCACCACAGAGTCATAGAAGGTCTTCAGGAGTGGGCCCTCCACTCCAAACGACCTGAGTCTCCGCAGCAGGTACAGCCTGCTCTGCCTTTCCTGTAGAGGGCATCTGAGTTATGAGTCCAGTCCAGTCTGTTGTTCAGATGAACACCAAGGTACCTGTAGCTGTCCACAGCCTCAATGTCCATACCTTGGATGTTCAGTGGTTGCAGTGGGGAATGCTTGTGCCTGCGGAAGTCTACCACCAGCTCCTTGGTTTTACTGGCGTTGATCTGGAGGTAGTTCAGCTGGCACCAGTCCACAAAGTCTTGAGTCAGTCCTCTGTACTCCTTGTCGTCCCCATCAGTGAGGAGGCCGACTATTGCAGAGTCATCAGAGAACTTCTGCAGGAAGCACTGGGTGGAATTGTGGGAGACGTCTGCAGTGTAGATGGTGAAGAGGAACGGAGCCAGAACCGTTCCCTGTGGGGCCCCCGTACTGCAGACGACCCTGTCCGACACACAGCCCTGAGTTCTCACATACTGTGGTCGGTCGGTGAGGTAGTCCAAAATCCAGGTAGTGAGGTGATGGTCCACTCCAGAGTTCTCCAGCTTGTCCTTCAGAACCAAGGGAAGAATAGTGTTGAAGGCACTGGAGAAATCAAAGAACATGATTCTCACAGTGCTTCCAGCGGTCTCCAGGTGAGCGACGGAACGATGTAGGAGGTGAATGACGGCATCATCCGCTCCAATGCCAGGCTGGTAGGCAAACTGAAGTGGGTCCAGTGATGAGCTTGTTAGGCGCCGAAGCTGAGCCAGGACCAACCGCTCCAGGGTCTTCATCAGGTGGGATGTCAGAGCCACCGGCCTGTAGCTGTTGAGGTCCTTGGGGCGTGAAGTCTTTGGCACTGGTACAACACAGGAGGTTTTCCAGAGCTGTGGGACTCTTCCCAGCCTCAGGCTCAGGTTGAAGAGGTGCTCCATCACCCCACACAGTTGATCCGCGCAGGACCTGACGTCCCTCGAGCTGATGCCATCTGGGCCCGCTGCCTTCTTGCCATTAATCCTCCTCAGTTCCCTCCTAACCTGGGTGGTTGAGAGAGACAGGCTGGAGCCTTGTGTTGAGTGTGTATTGGATGCTGTTGTTGGGGGTGGGGAGGAGTGAGCAGGGTGAATAGAGGAGGTGTGAAGTGTCTGAGGTGTCAGAGGTGGAACAGCAGCAGTGGGGGTGGGTGAGTCTGCAGCCGATGTTGCAGACTGCCTCATGGCTGAATGAAATCTGTTGAAGAAATAATTCAGTTCATTTGCCCACTTCACATCCCTCCCAGGCAGAGAGTTCTGATGTTTGTGGCCTGAGATGGTTCTGAGGCCTCTCCAGACTTCACCAACGTTGTTTTGCTGAAGCTGGTTCTCCATCTTTTGCCTGTAGCTGTCCTTCCCATTCCTTATCAGTCCACTCAACTCTCTCTGCACCCTTTTCAACTCCTCTTTGTCTTTGGATTTGAAGGCCCTCCTCTTCTGCTTGAGGACAGCTTTAATTTCTGGGGTAATCCAAGGTTTGCTGTTGGAGAAACACTGTACAGTCCTGGTAGGTACGGTGTTATCCACACAGAAATTAATATAATCAGTAATGCATGTAGTAAGGCTGTCGATGTCCTCTCCGTGGTCGTCACAGATCACCTCCCACACAGTCGACTCAAAACAATCCTTAAGAGCCTCCTCGCTCTCCTCTGACCATCTCTGTACTCTGTACTGTGCGGGTGGCTGGTGGCTCCCTGCGCACTAAGGGCTCATGCACTAAGGGCTCATACACAGGGACAAGGTTGTGCCAAGTTGCATAACGATTCATTGAGAAAAAATACTGGTAGACCAGAAAACCAAAATATCAACTCAACTGTGCTGTTCCCTAATAGAATGGGGAAATTTGCTAAACCTTTCATGTTGCCTCATCTAACATGTTAAATATTGGTTCAGGTGCATGCCTAGTGCTGAATATGGGTCACATTATTCATTTATTCACAGTCATCTGGATTACATCTGCGTCCGTCAATGGAGGGATTAGGAAATTACAGTTATTCAAACTGGATTCAAACAGCAATGGCAATGATGCTCCTTCACAGCTTTATGTCCAGGATGTCCCTACTTTCAGCCATAACTAGTGCGATCTCCTTACTGCTAAGATTAACTGTCCACCTCAAAGTCCTGAAGCTAGGTACAGTTAAATAACCGTGGCAACATCTCACTGCAACACATCAAACCACACTCATGATGTTCCCTTTGGGTCTTAAGCAGCTCACTGACTTCACAAATATTATTGTCCAAACACCTCACATTCCCATGATGATGCCTGGAACAGTTAAAGAAATAAAACTTTCAGATTTTCAGGAGATTGTCATAAATTGTGAGGTAGACAAAGCTGTTTGAGTTCTGTTGAAGTTTTGCAGACATAATCGCTAACCACATGACATTTAATAATTTCAAAATTTTTGACACATGAAAATTATGTTGACAATGTAGGCTCCAGTCACCTAGAGACCCGTCCATGATCCTCTGGCAACCATCAGTTGTGTAGGAAAAATAAGTATTTCCCAATCAGTTGCATGGAATCATGGAAAACTACAGAAACCATGCCAATCTGCTAGCAACCAAAACAATAACTAGAAAGTTTTTGGTGGAGTGCCTTCTTTGCAACTGATTTTTACCCAACGATAGCCAGCAATATCCAAAAATCACTGGCTGACCGTGGCTCAGGGGGTTGGGAAGTGCATCTGTAACCCCGGGCTCGATCCCCGGGCTCTCTGTCCTGGTCGTTGTGTCCTTGGGCAAGATACTGTACCCTACCGCCTACTGGTGTAGGCCTCGCTTCTGTCAGTCTGCCCCAGGGCAGCTGTGGCTATAACTGTAGCTTGCCTCCACCAGTGTGTGAATGTGAGAGTGAATAGTGGCATTGTAAAGCGCTTTGGGTGCCTTGAAAAGCGCTATATAAATCCAATCCATTATTATTATTAAAGAGTTGGGGAATACACATTTTCCCAGAGCCACCGCTGTGCCATAATGCCATAGTGATGCCACGATCACTATGGCATTACTGAGAGTTGAAAAACTATCTAAAGTCTTTAATAAAATGATCAGCGTTCTGCTCTACCAGGTGTAACAATTGAGTTTAACATCCAGGCATCCATGAAAATGGAATTTAGGACATTTAACGGAGTTAGAAGTTAGCAGGAAGTTAGCTCGCTAGCTTCTATCGAAATACAATATAGCATGTCCTGACTGCGGGGTTTTGGAAACAAATTAAAACGTACAGCTCTGTTATCACTTCCAGCATAAATGAAGACAGAAAACTAAACAGCAGTGACGTTTGTAGGGTTACTGAAGTTTGGCTAGCTGGTATATAATGATGTGCTACGTGACCGCTAGCGACACAGCTATGTTAGCATAATATAAACAAGCTAACTTTTTTTCCATTCGATAAAAGTTAACGTGAGTGCTCTCGGTGGTCAGGAACAAATGTAATCGAATGGCAGGATGCTGTAAAAGGACCAAACTTCAGCCAGGAGAACAACTGAGATAATCCATCCACAATACAAGGTTAGTCATTCATATACTGCTGCATGGGCTGGGCTGTAGTTACATCCTAAGGTTTTAAAAACTGAGCTTAGCGGTAATAAAAGCCGAGGGAGGTCAACAGTGATCACTGACTGTTTTAGGAGCTTTTTGAGATTAAATAGAAGAAAATACAAAACATTAAACATGTTAACAACACAAAAGCCACATTATACGCAGACTACTTTAGGCCCGGAAGTAGGATTCATCACGTCATCACTTAACGACCGGATAGCTCTAAAAGCACATTTACAGTGAGCAAAGGATCATCGTTTGCACACTAGTATTGATAGCTTACCAGTTTAGAAATTGCATGAGGCCTCCTGATCAAAGAGAGCCCTGTCAGATTGTTGAATGAGGTTTGCAGGACAGCAGAACCTATCCTCTTGCTTTTTGATACTGCCTATTTAGCCTCGGGGAAAGGCATGGCCAAAACACCACTGACTTGGTTACACCCGTGACTCACACTGACTTCCCTGAAGATCAGTATTTCAGGTTTCTCTACCGATCTCTTAATACCTCTGGCATTGTTTAGTGAATATTACGACCTCATGTAGTTACAGGAAAAGGAAGGAGGAAACCCTGCAACTGAGCACAGGCAACACCTGAGGGACACATGTTTTTATTTTCCCACTTGCTCAAATCATGCAGATGAGGCACTGGAGGCCAAAGACAAAGTATTCCACATGGTTCATGCATTTCTTCTAACCTAAACAAGCTGGGGCTCCTACATGATCTCCAGCAGGAAAAGAGAAGAGACACGTGTTTACCTTGCTATGCAGAAGTTTGTGTGGGAGACCCCCTGGGTTCCTTACACATGGAACTTCCCATCATTCATGGTGTCTCTACTCACACAGAGAGACAAGAATAGCCTCTAGTCCCTCTCGCTGCGCCCCTGGAGTGGATAAGTGGTAATGGACAGATGAATGGTATGATCAAATAGTTTCTTAACTGCATTCAGGTGTACGTAAATTTTAATTTAACCACTCTGTTGTTCATAATAATGTCCTTGTGCAGTTTTTCCTCTTCATTGGAAATATTTTTTGATCATCTGTATATATTTGCTCTCAACTGTATTAAAGGTGCTACCGTTTAGCTTGACTTTAATTTGGGGGAAAATTGCAGGGAGCCAAGTAGTGTGGGCAGTAAGGGACAAAAAAAAAAAAAAAAAAAAAAAAAAAAAAAAAAACCAACCTCCTGCCTTTTCACTGTGTGACCAAGTGGTCGGCGGGGTTATGAACAAAATAAATAAACTTGACAACGCCACCTAGGGGAATTACACCCCCAGGAAATATATTTAAGAAAAATAAAGAAAAGGAATAAAAGAAGACCGCACAGATTCAAGGATGCACACTGAGGCAGGTTGGCTTCCAATATTAAAACAGTTTTATTTATAGAAATGAATAAAATATTATAAATAATATTTTATAAATAAAATATTAAAAGTCAAGATGTAGCATCATTATTGACAGTGTCCTACAGTAAAAATAAACAATCGTGGAACTTGGACTTACCAGCAGCCGTGGAACCAAAAGAAAATCACACCACAAGAATCACTGCAGACCACCCAGTGCTGTACAAAAGAAAGTGTGAAAACGACCCACCACCTGAGGTCCCAGGGCCACTGGCTCGTCCTCCTTCACTGAAATAAAACACAGAAAAGTATGTTAAAAGAATAAAAGGACACTGAGCGTCAGGCTCGCTACAAATCATAAAAAGACTAAAACACACTTTAATAAAAGAAATCACACGCACACCCACACACACATACACACGGGAAAGGCTTATTCCCCACGGGTCAAACTACCACTCGTGCTGGTAATAATTATTCTCAGGCGTAGGCCGGTCTGGCTCCCCACCGGCTGAGACCGGCCACCCAGGCGATTTAGAGTCCCAGCACGACACTCGGGCAGAGGATCACTTCAGCCCGATCACAGAAGTATGGGTACGAACAACAGTCCAGGGTAAAATAAAAACACCAGGCGAACCCAAAAAAGGTAAGCCTACTTAATAAAAACAAGATAAGACAAAACAAGACAAGACAGCAGACTCCACCAAGGAGGAGTTCACAACAGCAGCTGAGAAGGCAGTCCACTCTTCCAATTTAGGTTGGACAATTTACCATGGAGAGGTGAGTACAGCAGTGAACCCTGAAACAGATAAGTGTAACCTTAAACTCTTATAGCTATGAAGGCTAATAAAAGTAGTTCTAACAGCTTACCCCAGGACCGGAGGCACTATACTCTCATTGGTGGAGATACCACGAACACCTCTCTCCGCAATGGCAGAATTAAACAGACTGCTGCGCTACAACAGGCCGGAAAAGGATATTAACACCAATTCCAGTATTCGGAGGGAATCCAAGGTTAAGCGAGAGCATACCTGTAGCTGTCATATAATCGGCTCTTGCTGATCAGTCCGTCGCAGTACGCCAGCATTTACTGCTGTATCGTACCAGAAGCTCGGGAGGAATTAATCCAACAAGACATCGGCTTAGCTTTATACAGGCTAGCGCCACCCTGCAATCAATGTGCAGGTGGGTTCCCAATTAACCCGATCACCTGATACAAGGAGCGAGTGCAGTGGAAAGAGAGCGAGGGTGGTAGAGCGAGCGAGAGAGAGAGAGAATGAGAGAAGAAAAACAACGGAAGGCGAGTAGCCCATCTGGCTACAACTGCATTGCTGTAAAGTTGTTGAGTCATAGCTGGAAACCCAACAGTTGCCACATGTAATGGTCCTGCATGTAAAGCTTTAAACCACAAGTTATGGTGTGCTGGCTACATGACTGAGGTCAATGGTAAATACACACATGTGCAAGTGGTCAGAAGAGGACTTCCATTGACTTGAGTTGTATGTCCACATTTATGCGCAGATTGATTTACTTTTGTGTGTCTTTTAAAAGCTCTTCCTGCCTCTGCAAGCTTTACACACATATATACTGACTGTAAAATAAAAGTGAAACAGAAAAGTCCAGATGTTTGTACTGTGTGGTAAAGCACTCTCAACGCAGCTTCTTTCTCACTTGCATAAGGGAGGTTTGTCTTGTCTTGTGTTTTTTTTTTTTTTTTTTGCTTTTTAATTAGCATGCTTGCAGGAGTGCAGAAATGCTCAGCACTCTATTTGATGTATGGCCATGCCTTTTTACAGGTGTCTCAGTGGAGCACAAATGCTCTAAAACCAATTGGGCTTCTCCACACACATTAATGCAGTGACATTACTGATACAAGGTGACTCAGCACATGTTTTTGTGGAAAAGTGATATCAATGCTGTCAATATGGCCGTAATGCTATGACTGGAAGTTGTGCATGCTTGCAAACCCAAGCATAATCAATGTTATTGAAAGGAGAAAACAAGGAAAAACAGGTGAACTTCTTAAGACCTCACTGAGGTTTAATGTAGCCTGAGGCATACTTTTTAAAACATTTTTGGAACCATTTGTTTCTTATTGTTTACAGATATTCTCACTGCCATTTATATTTTGCTTTGTAAGTGATAAGCCTGCAGCCCACAAACAAGTGAGGTTGGATATTCTTTTACACCATGTTGTAACTGCATTGTAATCAGCCCCAGCATTCAAACAGGCAACATGTGATGCTGGTTATCTAATGCTAATTTGCATACACTCAAACATTGTCGGAAAAACTCCTCCTGCTGCAGCAGCCTCTTCCAGAACTGCCATGCTCCCCTCCGTAAAACAATTTCAACAAGTTTTATTTATGTTACTCTAAATCACAACAACTGTCAAACTGAGGCACTTTATAGTATATGATAAAGACCCTACAATAATACAGAAAAAACTCACAACAATCTAATGACCCCCTGTAAACAAGCACTTGGCAACAGTGGGAAGGAAAAACTCCCTTTGAACAGGAATAAAAACCCCTGGTAGAAACAGGCTCAGGGAAGGGCAGCCATCTCTCGTGACCAGTGGTCAGTGAAGGCAGGAAGACAGGATAAGAAACGCTATGAAAGAGATTCGGAGATGAATAATGACTAATGCAAAAATTCAAAGGGGTATCTAAACACATAGTGAAAAAAAGTGAGTTAAGTAAGTTAACAATCAGTGCCTCATGGGAACCCCTGAGTAGCCTAGCCCTATTGCAGCATAACTAAGGGAGGATTCAGGGTACCTGATCCAGCCCTAACCATAAGCTTTGTCAAAAAATTAAGTTTTAAAGCTAATCCTAAAAATAGAGAAGTGTCTGTCTCCCAAATCTAAACTGGGATCAGGTTCCACAGAAGAGGGCCCTGGAAGCTTCAGCTTCTAATTTTAGAGCTATTGTGCACAATGCATGAAAGTCATTCATATTTGTTTAACATACACATTGAAGGACACATCCTGGTAAATCCCTCGCAGGGTTACTGGAGGCCAAGGTAATGCTCCCCAGGTATCTATAATCTAGAATTTAGAAGCAGGTCTTTATGTCTTTAAGACATTCCTGCAATTTAATTGGTGTGTCTTATCTACGTAGATTCATGGGACGATAAAGCTGGGTGTCATCTGCATAGCAATGAAAATGTATGCTATGTCTTTTAATGATAGTGACTAAGGGAAGCATGTATAATGTGAACAGAAGTGGTCCTAGCATGGAACCCTGTGGAACTCCATAATTAATTTGGAGTATGTGTAGAGGACTCTCCGATTAGATGAACAAATTGGAGTCTGTTAGGTAGGTATGATTCAAACCATGGCAATACAGTACCTTTAATTCCTACAGCATGCTCTATTCGCTGTAATAAAATATTATGGTCAACATCAAATGCTGAGCTGAGGTCTATCAGGACAAGTACAGATAAGAGTCCACTGTCAGCAACCATAAGAAAATAATTTGCAACCTTCACTAAAGCTCCCAAAATGCTGATTGTGTTCATCCGGACATAGCGTTTTTAGTGGGAGAAATGTTTTGTCACTCATAGAGGGGACTTCTTCAATCTCAGCTGACTGCATGTTTCCCTAACCCACAGGTGTCGAACTCCAGGCCTCGAGGGCCGGTGTCCTGCAGGTTTTGGATGTGTCCTTGATCCAACACAGCTGATTTAAATGGCTAAATTACCTGATCAACATGTCTCGAAGTTCTCCAGAGGGCTGGTAATGAACTAATCATTTGATTCAGGTGATTTGACCCAAGGTGATATCTAAAACCTGCAGGACACCGGCCCTCGAGGCCTGGAATTCGACACCCCTGCCCTAACCTTATAAACAGTACATTTGCATAATGAGCAGAACTAGCACCACTGACTAACAATGGGCTGTAAGGTCAGTTTCATGATCACTTAGAGCCCCCGAGAGCAGCCAGTTGGCTTTTCTACCTTTAAAACCTACCTTTAAAACCCGCCTACCAGCCAAATGGCTTTTAGCTAGGCTTTAGCTTCAGCCAAGTGGAAGCTAAATTGGCTAGTCATTCATATGTAAATTAGGTTGTTACCTGAGAATTCTGGAGGGGAGTGGGTGTGTGAGAATGATTGCTAATTTCTAACTGCCAACTGCTTCCTTGTTTGTCTGGGGGAGCTGCTAAAAGCTGTGAATTTCCTTTTGTGTTCGTCTTGAAGCATTCTCAATCATCCAGGGAAATAAATCTCCAAAAGTCACCAACTTGGAGTGTTTCAGTTTGCCATCTTAGGGAGAAATCAACACACATGGGTGTATGTCCTTTGTTGCTGAGATTTATTGATAAAAACAGTACAAAAAACCAACAATTTGTACACATATTTACAAATAATAATAAAAAGTGAGCGAGTTCATTACTACATTTTCAGAAAGTCTCTCCCCAGTGGGACGATTGGGGTCCTTGCCAAGATATGGGAAGACATTGCAAATGTACTTGGATTTTAGGTCGCAAGCCACCCAAAACTTGATCCCAAACTTGTCAGGTTTACTTGCAATATACTGCAGGAAACAGCACCGAGTCTTTGATGGGAAAAGCTGTTCATCAACGGTGATGATATCAGACCACTGGTCTTTGATAAATATGCTTTTATTATACCAGTGGTCTGATTGATGCCACAATGGACCACTGACTCGAGTAAGAAGACTGGCGGGGGGCTGTGCATCTATATTAACAACCTTTGGTGCACGAACGTCACGGTAACGGAAAAACTGTGCAGTACAGAGGTAGAACTGTTGGTGTTAAAGTGCCGTCCATTCTATCTCCCTCGGGAATTTTCTGCCGTTTACATCTGCGCTGTTTACATTCCACCAGATGCTAATGCTAAGCTAGCGTTAGCACAATTGAGCAGCAGCATCAATAACAGCCTGGTAGCACACCCGGACAGTGTCTTTATTGCGGCTGGGGATTTTAACCACGCGGACCTGAAATCTGTACTTCACAATTTCCACCGTAATGTGAAGTGTGCTACCAGAGGAGATAGAACGTTGGAACAGGTGTACACCAACATGGCGAATGCGTACAGAGCCCAGGCTTATCCCCACCTGGGTCTGTCAGACCATCTCTCCCTTCTGCTACACCCAATATACACACAAAAGATCAAGAGCACTGGGATTACAACCAAAACCGTGAGAACATGGCCGCAGGATGCTATTCCGATGCTTCAGGACTGTTTCCACTGCACAGACTGGGATGTATTCAAGGTGCAGGACACTGACAATCGTGTCGCATTGGACAGTTATACCTCCACTGTCTTGGACTACATCTGTTTCTGTGTGGACAATGTAACAACTTGGAAACGATTCCGTGTGTTCCCTAATAATCCACCCTGGATGACACACGGAGTTCAACAACTTATTCGAACAAGGAACAACGCTTTCAAATCCGGGGACCAGGAGGCATACAGTGCTGCCAGGGCCAACTTGAGAAGAGGCATCAAGACTGCCAAGCAGCAGCACAGGAGGCGTATCGAGGCCAGGTTTGAGAACAACACCCAAGGCAGGTCTGGGAGGGCATCAGGGCTATCACGGACTACAAAAGAAGAACACCATCACCCTCAGCCGACAGTTCTACTCTGGCTGAGGATCTAAATCTCTTTTATGCCCGTTTTGACAGGGAGAACACCGACCCTGTCCTGTCCCCTCTCCCCTCAACCGACCCTGCTCCGGTCCTGAGCACTCATGAGCTGAGGCGTGTGTTCCGGAGCATTAACACCAGGAAGGCGGCCGGGCCGGATGGAGTGCTGGGCCGGGTGCTAAAAGACTGTGCTGCGGACCTGGCGGACGTCTTCACCTCTATATATAACACCTCGTTGTCCTGTTCACTGGTACCATCCTGTTTCAAAGCAGCAACCATCGTTCCCATCCCAAAACAGTCAAATGTCACATGTCTGAACGATTTCAGACCTGTGGCACTCACCCCCATTCCCGCCAAATGCCTGGAGAGACTGGTCATTAAACACATCAGAGCTGCTTTTCCACCATCCCTGGACTCGCACCAGTTTGCATACAGGGAGAACCGGTCAACCGAGGATGCGATCGCCACAGTGCTGCACACATTACTGAAGCACTTGGAACACAGGAACACCTATGCACGGCTCCTCTTTGTAGACTACAGCTCGGCTTTTAATACCATCCGGCCATACAAACTCCGTCCCAAACTCCACCAACTGGGACTTAACTCCTCTCTGTGCAACTGGATTGTGGACTTCCTCACTAACCGTAGACAGAGTGTCAGAGTGGGTAAGAACACCTCTTCCACCCTTGTGGT